CTATCCTGGAACCTTGCTGACAATCTTGACCTTAGAGCTATGTACACCTGAAAAAAATATATGTAACTGAACAAACATGGTCTAATCTACACTGGGAAACTAAGTTTGTATAAAGACTTCTTGTTACATATACACTATTCATGAATAGAAAAAAAATGAGAGACACGTTGACCTTTAAAAATAATTCAGAGGCCTTCTGTAAAGCCAACCTAAAAATACTAATAATAACACAGGAAAATACATCAAATAGAAACTGTTCAAAAGCCCATTTCATGACAGTAAGGATAAGACTACCCTTTACTTCTAAAGTGTAGACTCAATATAACTACTCAGAAAATAATCAGAGCCCAAATAATTATTCCCAAATAATTATAATCTTTGGGAATAATGTCTGCATACAAAACATTTCATTATATCAGATGAAATCTGAAGAGTACACAAAGCAGCCACAACCCCAGGTCTTCAAGGTCTTTTAACCCAGGTCCTCAAAGTGTGAGATGACCCATCCTACATAATTAGACCCAGTAAGAAGAAGAGAACAGTTTGTACTAAAAACCAAATCATCAATGCTTTTATTGGGCCATGAAGAAGGATAGAACGAACTTCACTCTCACAGATCCATGTCATGGCATAAGAAGAAACCTTTCTTGGCCATTAGCATCAACTAATGATGCACAGAACTCTGATCACTATCTCCCCCCTACCCCGCCATCTCAAGAATTTTCTTTGGTGACTTCAAAGTCATTTATTTAGTTCTGAACACCTATATCCTACTCTTCCTCCTTGGTAGGGAGAATAATCAGAGGGCAGCTAAGAATAATTTGGTCAAGGCCACTGAGTAAGCTTCACACCTAAACTGGTATCTGAAAATAAACTCAGAAATCTAGCCATTGGATCAAGCTTCACGCATAGATATTCTCATATCGTAAATTAGCAAAAATTGGTACTTAATTATATTAAATGAATGCACACTCTACAGAAGTTTAACAGGGTATTTCTGAACAATAAGATTACACTGGCAATGGCATATATACCTCTGGGATAGCAAGCAGGATAATTTTTATTCATTCCCCCTCCTGGATAATTTTTATTCATTCCCCCTCCTGGATAATTTTTATTCATTCCCCTCTCCCAGTGCAGACTTCCAATAACCCCTTCATGCTCTTCCTGATAGTCCCTTGTCTTGCAGGAACACCATTCCAGGGGGCATTTGGAGCTGCAGGGGGAAGTGGGTGGTGGAAAATAAGAACATAAGAACATAAGAGAAGCCAATGTTGGATCAGGCCAATGGCCCATCTAGTCCAACACTCTGTCACACAGTGGCCAAAAATACCAGCTGCCATCAGGAGGTCCAGCAGTGGCGTATGATTCAAAATCATACTCTTGTTAAATATTCTTCCATCAACAGATATTTTCCATAGCAGTCATGCCTACATTTATCAAAGAGCAGAACTAAATTTATGGCACTAAGCACAAAGGGTGTTGTAGAATTAATTTAAGTGGTTGAATACTGACGCTGTCATTATTTTCAGATCCCACAAGCTAACCTCTGCATGCCTTCAAACAATGGATTTTAACTGGGAATTTCTACTAAATTAGACTGACAGTAAAAATTAGGAGACAATCAAAAATTGCTTCCCCCCCCCAAAAAAAAATCAATGTCAGTTCTTATCCTCTCCCACTTTGCATGCTCTTGGGATACAGAAATGAAGCAGAAGCAAAGCGAATATAACACCACCAAGATGACCATCCTGCACAAAACTGAAAGAAGCTGAATAGCATTCTTGAGGCTTTTCACAAACAAGGAAAGCGTCAACAGTTGCTTACCTACCTGATTCTTTGGATATTTAAAAAACCACCAAAGCCTAACATATGCAATTAAAATTTGGTGACCATGATTTGCATCACAGGGTTTATTTAGGTTTCCTAATAACTGCAAACCCCAAATCTATGTAATACTTCTATTTAATAAAAGGTATTCACAGTTTTTGTTTCTAGATTTTGCTTTGGACTAATAGGGTCACCTACAACCTCTGAGAAATGCAATGCTTTTACAGCATTTTTAAATCCCTTAGTGATACTGTTCTCATAAAAGGTTGTGATATTATTTATTTAGATATTTACACCCCACTTGACTCTCTGCTTTTTTTCAGATGAACATTATTTAGATAATTAAAAAATTTAAGGGTATGATCCAAGCCTCCCCACTTGTTCCTGACCCCTCCCCCATGCAAGGAGGGTTCCTGCTATCGAATCCTCTTCCTGTGAGACCAGCACCCCATAAAGAGAGCTGCAGTTTCAGGAGACCTGCATGTGCCTGATAGGACACAATTAAATGACTGGAATTAAATTATAGGAAAATATATTTTATAACTTGATACGCAAGGGAATTGTGTGGCCATTCTAGCCTTGAGAGAGAGAGAGAGAGACAGATTATTCAGACTATTTTTAAAAAATTATTTACAGAGTATGAACTTCCAAAGGTTCCTGCCTACTTCATCAGATGTCAGTGGAACTACTCTCAGCGAGCTAAGGAAATCAGCCGGTGGAATGTTTATGCAAGTCATCTTAAAAGGACTTTCACTAAGAATTATGCACTGGGAAATGAAGGGTACCAAATAAAACAATGTTTTTCTCAAGCTCATGCATGAGAAGAAACCATAATTTCTGTTTACATGTTGGTTTACACAGAAGTGGAGCTGCGGTGGCTCAAGTGGTTAAGACGCTGAAATGCAGGCTGTGGAAGGTCAGTAGTTCAGCAGTTTGAGACCTGGGTGCCGCAAGACGGAGTGAGCTCCCATCTCTAGATCCAGCTCCTGCCAACCTAGCAGTTCGAAAGCAAGAAATGGCACCGCAAGAAATTGCAAGTAGATAAATAGGTACCACTTTGGTGGGAAGGGAACAGCGTTCCGTGCGCCTTGGTGTTTAGTCATGCCGGCCACATGACCCCAGAAACGTCTTCGGACAGTGCTGGCTCTTCGGCTTTGAAACGGAGATGAGCACCGCAACCCTAGAGTCGGATTCGACTGGCTTTCGAGCAAGGGAACCTTTACCTTTACCTTACACAGAATGGACTTCAAAAATTCTTGCATCCTGCCTCCTCATGTTCTGTACGTATGCCCAAATATATCTCTTTGAGGATGGTTACTCTGACATCTCCAATGGAATGACCAGAGAGGTTAAAATGTTGATCCTCAGGCATTTCAGAACTTTTAGAAAAATGTTAATTCAAATGTTTTCTGAAGCACAGCTCTCCCTGCACTATATGAGAATTGCTTTTGTAACTGAGACACTCCTCCCATACATGGAAATCACTGAAGATAAGACAGCCATAATTTGAAATGTGATCCATATACATAGTAGCTCCATAAATAGATGATTTTTATTGTATACTAAGCACTAAAGCAGTAGGTTTGAAGACATTCATATTCAGATTTATTGGGCAGGTTTAGTGCTTTGATATTAAATGCATTAAATCCATTTTTGATGCCTTTTTTTAGCATCAAACTTTCTTAGACACTATTTTTGCAACTTAGGCTACTGTTCTTTATTTTTTACATAAAGATTGGACTAGTAGGACAGGACCCAAAATCGGGTTGCAAATCTCTCACAGGTAGGTTGCGAGGACAGAGGAAGGAAGAGAAAAGATGGGGAAGGAATCACTGGGGGTCTCAATAATAAATCTGTGGATTCCTTGACATAATGTAAAAAATGAGATTTAAAAAAACCCAGTTGTTCATTAATGCTACATATTTGTAAATACTAGACATGAAAAATAAAATATAAACTTGCTCAAAGTTAACTGATGTGAGATTTCTGATTTTATACTAGAAAGGGGGAAAGTAGAATCATAGAATCATGGAAGGGACCTCCAGGGTCATCTAGTCCAACCCCCTGCACAATGCAGGAAATTCACAAGGGTCACGAGAACTAAGCACTGATGCAACCCTTCCTGCCCTCCCTCTCATGATCTGCCTAAGCTCACAGAATCAGCATTGCTGTCAGATGGCCATCTAGCCTCTGTTTGAAAATCGCCAAAGGAGGAGAGCCCATCACACCCCGAGGAAGCCTATTCCACTGAGGAACTGCTCTGTCAGGAAGTTCTTCCTAATGTTTAGCCAAAAACTCTTCTGGGGCACGGAGTTACTCTGCAAATGTAGAAGTGGGTCCCACTTCAAAATGTTTGAGACCACTGGCTCCAAAAAATTCCAGAGGGCAGGTCTTAATGACAGCTAGGCAGTATCTCCTATTCCAGTGACAGTATACATCTGAATGCCAGATGCCAGGGACAAAAATAGGGGAAGGCTGCTGGGTTTGTGTCCTATTTATAATTTTCCTGGGAGTACCTGCCTGGCCACTCTTGGGACACAGAATGCTGGAGATGATGAATCTTTGTTTTCATCTAGCAAGGCTCCTCTTTGGTCTGTGTCACCAATGAAAGTGACTGGACGGAGTGTGATCACCTGCATGCCACAGGAAGAAAACATGTGAAATCTCCCAGTTGACATATTTATTAAAAGATTAGCACTGAAGATATTGTATTGCCTTGATATTGACACTATTCAAAATATATTTGTAAAAAGTTTAACATAATGAAGCCAATTCTAAGACAATATTCATTCAATTGTTTTCAACCTAGATGAGTCAAGAAAACACCTTAAGCACTAAGGGGAAAAATATTTTATATCGACAAAAGATACCTATACTGTTTCTGTTTTGTTCTTTTAATTTTTCTAAACAGAACACACTAGCAACTGACTAAAGAATCGGGCAAATACCATCTTTTTGCCTTATTTCATACACTACAGCACATTATTAAATTGGATTTCCAATCAAAATGCACAGACATAAAACCTCAGTATTAAACAACTGCCAAGATATGCTACAGTGGTTACTAGGAAAATGTCTTCCACTTCAGCTTACAATTTGGTATCAGTTAGGTACCATTCAGTGCTTTACCAAGACATTAATCAAAACGAAGTTTTTGGACAGCGTCTCACCTGGTCTCTTCATCATCCCATGCGATTCTCATGCCTTTCCCACCACCACCTGCTGAAGCCTTGATCATGACAGGATAGCCTAGCAGCAGGGAACAATTAGACAGAAGTTCAGACTTTGAACAGCAAGTCATATAAACGCAACAACTGTCTGCATGTCCAGTAACACAGTAAACAACAACTGGCTTATTTAAAAGCTGTTTGTGCGAAGGAGGGCTTTTAAAGCTGTATTATATAAGAAAAGCATCCTCTGAATTTCAGCGTATCAGATTAACTTAACTTACGTCCCGGTCACATGGGCCGGGAAATGTGGGGGGGGGGAGCGTGGCTGTCTGCCCCAGAGCAAACTAACGCGCGGCCGCCAGATCACACGTCCCGCCAACGTCATGTGGTTCAGGGGAAGGTGCTGATCTCACGACAATCCTGCGGTGCGGCAAAGAAGCGGTGCGGCAAAGAAGCGGCGCGGCGCGATCACAGCAGCAATGGCTAGGCGCCGCTGCCGTGGCAAACGGGGTTGTGGGTTTTTTTTAAACTGAAGTGTGCGCATGCACCATTGGGTGCGTGTGCGCATCCCGTGGAGACTTGGGGGAAAAAACCTTTTTGCGACAGGACATGGGTGGGCGCCGGATGCCACGAACTACTACCGGAAACGCGATCAGACGCCCGCCCTTGCCCCGCAGTTCCTGGAAACTAGTACCTTGGAGGTACTAGTTTTTTATGCCGTATCTTTGGCCGGAAGCCTCAAGTTAGCCACGGGAGCTCTACGCTTCCCAGCTGTTGCGGTGTGATCGCGCCCAGAAAATCTGTCTATCTTCCGTCTCTGTAGCGTGGCTAATGCTCTGTGACCGCAGCCTTAGTGTATCAGCAAATCAAAGGAGTAACACTACCAAATACTTGAAGTCACAGTTCCTACTCAATTGTATTATTGCTACCTAGCAGTTCGAAAGCAAGAAATTGCAAGTAGATAAATAGGTACCACTTCGGTGGGAAGGTAACAGCGTTCTGTGCGCCTTGGTGTTTAGTCATGCCGGCCACATGACCACGGAAACGTCTTCGGACAGCGCTGGCTCTTTGGCTTTGAAACGGAGATGAGCACCGCAACCCTAGAGTCGGATTCGACTGGCTTTCGAGCAAGGGAACCTTTACCTTTTTTACAGAATTATATCATAGCGACCGTAATATTACTACAGCAATTGCTTTGCTATATGTTGATTAAAATCAGTATATTTATATAATTATCTGTCCCAGAAATAAGCATCATATACAGTGACGAAAAATGATAAAATATTTAGACACTCCAGGCAAAAATGGTAACCATTATAGCACCCAACCCAGTTTGGACAGTCTAAGAATCAAATCCTTGTTCAGGACAAACTCTTAATTTATTTTTTGTACTCTGGTACACATACAAAGCACAAAATACATCATTTGTTGTGAAGGATATCATTTGATAAAGGTTTTATTCAGAAACTGTCTTCAAATTAAGCTTCTGCCATAATATATCAACTCTTATTATATGGCAGAAGACTAACTTGAGGAGAATATCTGAATTAAGAACTAGGCAATCAGTCTTATCTACTGAAACATTCGAGGGGGTTGAGAACACTCATATTACCACAGTTCCCCTGTGGATTGTTATTCAAAGGGTGAGAGAGTATATATTTCTACTTTGTGAGGGAAAATGTTTATTTTTTGAAAGATTCAATGCCAGAAAACAGTGACTGAGATAGAGAGGTCTGTTTTGCATTACTATTTTAAAAGCGCATTTCACCCAAAATTCTTCAAAAGTCCTCACCACATCACCATTCTGTTGTAAGCTGCCCTGAGCCCTGCTCGCAGGGAAGAGTGACAGCGGCCTAAAAGTCCAATTCATAATTAATGAATGTACTTAATAAATTAAGTTTAATAATAATAAATAAATAAATAAATAAATATGGTTGCCAACCCTCAGCTGGCAACACCCTGGAGACTTTTGAGGGTAGTAACTCATGAAACAGTGTTTGGTGACATGATGATGATGGCATTTACAGCTACATAACCAGAAATAATGTCATCATATTGCTGGATGCTCTAGGATTCACTAAAAATTCTATGGTAAAACCATATAATTTTGGGTGAATGCTAGAGCATCTATCAATGCAATGACATCACTTCCAGTTACACAGCTGGAAATGACATTATTTCCTCACTAACCACCATTCCAGCCCCCCCCCCCCTTTCCCTCCAGCATTCATTAGAGTAAGAGTATGCAAGGTTGGGAGTTCCCTATCTCCACCCCCCACCCCAGAAATGGCAACCCTACTTCTCAGCCAGCCCAGCATTTTCTACTCTGAACAGCAATGAGCCTGAAACCCTTAGCCACATAAACCCTTATAACTGCCTGCCCTGATTCCAGGTATCCTTTTACCTGTAAGTGCCAGTGGCTGTGTGCAAAGCATATATTCTAATAAATAGTTTCCCAAATATTAATCTGGAAAAGTGTTATCTGAAAAAGCAAACTGTTCTAAAATATGTTAGCCCGTAAAACGCCACAGGAGCTCCTTGTTCTTGGAAAACTTAATCAGCTTTCTCCACTTTTGTAATAAATTCTTTTGGACAGAAATTTAAACTAAACATGGTACTGGCCCTTTAACAGCAAATGGACAGCTTTTTATACTAAACAAATACTGGCAGGTAAATAATTTGCCCCACATTTCTTCATTTGCCCCAAATTTCTTCACTTTCCTTCACCAGAAAATGTGTATTTTTTGCAGGATTTGCAGGATACCCTCCTGTGTTATTCCCATCCACCCAGTAGCACTAACTTTATGCAGCTGCATTTTAATCATGCAGCAAGTCACACACGAGTACACCATGCTGCAGAACATTTGTATGAGGGGTCCTAGCAATTCAGTACCAAACCACACAAACAAAAAAAATTAATGAATTGGAAGATTTCCACCACACCATTGTATTTACTTATTGAGATGGATCACCTTTGTATGACTTCCTTTTTCAAGGAGTTTAAGGCATCATACAGGAGTTTAAGGCATCGTACATACCCCCCCCCCATCTTATCCTCACAAAAAAAAACCTAGAAAGGGAAATTAGTTAGGCTAAGAGAGGGTAACTAGCAAAAGGATATACAATGAGCTTCAGAATCGACAGAGTGTTTGCACCCAGCCTCCCTACCCTATCTCCTTCAAAAATTCTACCCACTACACAGCACTAGCCATGGAATGAGGCTATTTTCTAAATTCACCAAATGAAGGGAAATTGTCATACTGCCCAAAATTTAAGGCCAGAATCCAAAGAGCTTCCTGTAGAACTCCCCTTGAAAAGATGACATCTCTCACTCCCGTTAACAGAAACTGGGGTTTCTTTTCAAACTTTCATTCAATTGTCATGCATCATGCTTGAGAAAAACAAGGCAACAGGCTACAGGAGGGAGGGGGAGGGGAGAATAAACTGTGTGGTTTGATGGTCTTCATGTGAAAACAAGATAAGCAATTTGTTGACTTTAATCTGTATTTCTGCACTGTTTCTAACTTGTTGTAGATTGACCAGAGCCTTGTGTACCCAAGGATTGGGCGATCCAGAAATTTAAGAAATAATAATAACAGTCCAAATAGTGATTAAGAGAAGCATAATTTTGTTTATGTCAGCTCTCCAGTAAAAGACGACTGACTTTGTCTTGGCACCTTCTGCACAAAGACCCCCTTTCCCCCTCTGTGAAAATACCACTCTGCTTTTAAGAAGATTTTGATTACTACTTCTCACATCCTGCATGCAATTTGAGTCTGAGTCTACTTATACACCTAAAAAAAATTAAGATTTAAAGAGATTTAATGCTCAGATTCTTCCAGTCCCGAAGGCGACTGAGAATTTAGCAACATTAAAACACTTGTTCCATAGGGACTACTTATTACACAGTTAATTTAGTCCAAAGTGTCTTCTGAAAAGCATACAAATCTCAGCACAACCAATTTAAGAACTTACCAATTTCCCTTGCAATTCTGACAGCTTCATCTGCATCCTGTAAAGGCAGGAAATTAGACCCAACATTAATCCCATCAGCAACTGCACTATGTCTCTAGGGCAGCCATATATTGCACTACTGTCTCCTTCGATTCATTTAATGTTTGATTTTACAACCTTCTGACCCACTTCATTCGGAGGAATGTAAAATTAATACCATAAGTGGAATGTAAATTTTACCTCATCGTTGCCCTAATACTTAAGGCTCTAAGCGTTGGAGAATCAACTGACAGGAAAACAAATCAGCAGGACTACAGAAGGATTTCTCAGGGTGCCAGAATTTAGGTTACAGAAATTTAGATGGTTTCACAGAGAAGTACATAATCAGAGTGCTGTGGCACTGCGGCTGCCAGCTTACTCCTGTCTCCACAGGTACACATGTGTCATGTTTTCCTGGATACAGTCAGCAGGGGGAGTTGATTCTCTATCGCTTGGGTAAGCTTCAGGGTCAGCACGATTCTCACAGAATTCACTGAAAGATCCAAATATAGTATTCGCAGGTGTCTTTTTTTTTTTTTAAGGCAGAAGGGAATTTTAACACATCTTAGACTCCACACTTCAAACATACGCCATCTCTAATAATTAAAGAGCTGAATGAGTTTGGTGTTTTTAACAGGAGGAAGCGAATGACTACAGTCACTACCTGTTACATAAGGTAACTAACACGAAGCCTGGGAACATGGGTGGAAAAATATATCGGTATATGGATATAGCAAGCATGAACAGCAGAGCCATCTTATGCCAGCCTTCATACTAACTGGGATACACTTGACTGAGCACATTACTACCCCCCTCCCAAAAAAAAGTTACACAAAAGGGAGGAAGGAGTATCACCCTGTTGATCCTACGCTTTGCATGTGGAAAGTCCTTGATTCAACCTCAGACACTTTCGTTAAAAAGGACTTAGACAGTAGGGCTGGGAAAGACCACTGCCTGACACCCTGGTGATGATCCATCAGACTGTGCTGTGTCATCTTTCTGACAGTGTATGGCACACTGGTATATTCGCCTTAGGAAATGTAATGTTCTAAGTAGCCAAGTTTGGGTAGAGGAAAACAGCGCAGCTCACTTTTTCCCCCTGAGGATTAGTCAATGAAAGGTTGACCTAAACCAATTGTCAAGAAGTTAACTTCCCTTCCCCCACACGCTACATTTCCACTACGCATTACTAAATGACATTCAACTTTGAAAAGCCCATCCAAAATGTGTTAATATTTACATTACTCTTGACTCCTTTTAATGTTACATATATAGCAATAATGTCTACAAACTTCCTACTGCTAAGTGTGGCTGAATCTGTGGGGGCTGAACTCAGGAACATTAAAATGAAAACTGATTATTTTAAAGCATCCAGGGCCTTTTCCCCTCACCCCGTTCCTCCACTCCAAGTTTCAGCCCAGAGCTTTCTCTTACCTAAAACAGCAGAGCAAAAGCACTGGAGGTTTTCATACCTGGCTAACTATTTTTTTCCCTCCAACAATAAAACAAAATCCTCTTAGTACCTACTAAGAACCCAATGAAGAATAAGGAAGCTGGTACAGGAAGTTGTCAGAAAATTTAATTTCCTTTCATTAGCTAGTCTGCTCCACAAATCGGCGCTTGTTAAGTTCAAAGCAACCCTGAAAGCAACATCAGTTTTAAGTCCTTTTTTTTTTTTAACTTGAAGCAGGCACATCTGTTAATGAGATTTTCCAAACAACAATTGTTTTTTAAGGAACAGATAAGTCTACAAAAAAGGGAGGAGAAAGGAGAAAGAATAAAAATCAGTGTTTATTGTTTTATTACACCTCTGTTGCTTTCCACAACCTTGCAACCTACACAGCCTCTAAGTTTTTGCTCAAGAGGGATAAAAAAATGCATGAAAAGGGTCATTTAAGAATGTTAGTGGTTTCCACACATTGAGTCTGAAGGTTCTTTGTTCCTGTCTGTGACAGTTATGCGAGAATACTTCCCCTTAATAGCCCTCTCTGTCAGGAAGTGTTAAACCTGCCAAATGCAGACAATTAGAGCCTCTTGAATAAAATGCAGGAAGAGTGATGACTGATGAAGAGCCTCGATTAGAAGCAAGGAAGAAACTTTTACATTTCTTTTCTCTTGCAAATGCAGGCAGATATTTGCTAAACAGGATTTTAATATAAAAGCAACAAAGGAGGTCATTTTCCCTCCATTTAGTTACCTGCAAACAAGTGGGTAACTGGTGCATGCCGCAAGCCCATATGAAAGCAGGCTGCAAATTATCCATGACAACTGACACAACTGCGCTTTTTGAACCACCCCCCTCCCAAAAGAAAAAAATACTTTAAAAAAGACGTGCAGTCTACAATTTCGCTACCTCGGGGAAAAATATCAAAGCCAACCAAGAACACTTAAGGAAGCAGTTTTTACTTGGGCATCGAATGCACTCACTTTTGCAGAATTATAAATGCCATCTGTCTCCTGTCAAGAGTGTATGCATGACGGTGAACACTACACTGGCTTCTATGCCTGTGACAATAAACCTCAACAGGACACAGCTTATGTGACAAAGCAGTCACATGCCACCAGTGCTAAGGAAACAGCATAGGTGGTGAGCATTTGAAACCACCAATTATTTCTGTTTTAAATCCCAAATGAATCCATACTATTTGCGAAAACAGTAAATGCTCCAACAATAATACCCACAATGCACACACATAATACCACCTAGAGTTATTTGTTAGTATATTTTGTCCCTTTAAAATCTTTTAAACCAAGTTGCTGAAATATCTCCTATTTGTTCTACTATTCAGATAGACTCATAGGACATTTTTAATTAACAGTCAGCGTAAGCTAGCTGTGTCTTTCTTTGGAACCTATCTGGGATTTAAAGAATCACTTTAGACATGCCCAAGGCCTTGGCTTGCTTCCAGATGCAAATTCTGACTGCACCATCCTCCAGAAAAACTGGGCCCCATGTGAAAGCAAAAACTGAGATTGTCCTCAGCTTCCAAAATAGATTTCCCATGAAACAGAGGTTGGTGCCATTCAAAAACAAACACCCAAAGAAACCTGAGCTACAATGCAGTAACTGCACGTTTCTTTGGATCCTGGCCCAAATGTACATTTGTATTTCAACAGTTAAGGGGACTTAGGCTAATCCTAACCACACTTACTAGGAAGCAAGTCCCATTGAACTCGGTGGGATGTGTGTGTGTGTATGTGTATGCTAAGGACTGCACTGTAAGTCTAATGAAATATAGCAAAAAAGAACAAATAGCTAACACGGCCAAGCACTGATCTGAACATTTTCCTTGATCCAAGTGTGACTCCCTACATAATGCACCCAACAGGCTCTCTTATAAGTGTGATTCATTCACCATGGTATCCCCTCAAGAAAAGTCACTGAAAACTTATATAAGGCCCCAGTCACATGGGGGAAATTGATGCGGCCAAAGTGCGGCTTTTTAGAGCCGCACCAAAAGAGACACATGGCGGCGGGATCAGAGAGATCCCCTGAGCCGCCGCGCAGTTGCTCCCCGGCACGATCAGATGCCGGGGGGGGAGCCACGGAAGGGAGAGTGAGGCAGCCGGCTGCGCCTCGAATGCTCCTGAAGACAGGCGCGCCGGCGATCCCACGGCCGCGCTTGCTGTGGCGTTTCAGGTAGGTGCTACTTTTTCCTAGGTTTTTTTTCATGCGCATTTTCGGCCTGAAGGGACAGATCGGGGACGGGTGCGTGCCACTTCTCAGATGTTGCAGTGTGATCGCGCCCGTTTGCTGCGCCCCCGATCCGTCCCTCTTCCGGGCCAAAACCTCCCGTGTGACCGGGGCCTAAGACTCCCTACTGCCTGTGTCACATGTAAAAGGCCACACACGCCTTGCATCAGTCCATACATATGTAGTGCTGGCACACCAACATCTGCTGGGTCCAATGCCCACATCAAAGTCACATGGACTGATCCTCAGAGTAAAAAGCTTTTTAATGTAATAGTCTCCAAACAGAGCTTCTCTATGTGTGTAGCCTTTTTTGGAATAATACACAGGGATAATTTAAACTGACATTTTCTCTACACTTGCTCACTTTTAAGTTCAAAAGTAATAAAATAGCTTTCTTGAGGACACCGCATATGCAACCTCATGGTTTCTGTTTGTTAGGTGATAGTGAGATATTGAAAAAATGGTATTTAGCAGAGATAAGATAGTCCAGCAGAGCTAGAGTAAAATAATTCAGACTCAGAATCCATGTGTGATTAAAATATAAAGTTTTTACTAAATTCTAGCACGGGAAGGGTAACTGGGATGAAAATAACAACAGAGCATAATCGGCTACATCCTTACTCTACAAAGACAAAACTAGAAGAGAGAGATTATGGCTACTCTTCTTCTTCTTCTTCAGAACACCAAAGAAAGACGGGAAGAGAGCCATAAAATGGTAATACACCTTGACACTTTAGTCCCAATCAAATTCCTAGATCAGGGAGAAAATTCCCGGACATTCTACAGCTACAGAACATTGGTTACATGAGAAACATGTGACTTCCTGTGAGTAACATAAACAAACATTTAACCCCAGATATACTGAGTGTTTTCCACTTGTAATACCCAACACTGTTGTTCTTACTTTATGCTGTGATCCTCATTCATTGGTACATAATTCTGTCCCTTGCCCAATCCAAGGCCTTACTAGTTCCTTGTTTTTCCCCCTGTTATATTCCTCCCAAATACCATTTTTAACAGCCAGGGCCACTTCATAGGTCTTTGCAATATATAAATTTACTTCAGCCATTCAAACCTCAGCTACCAAAATAATGGGCATTTGGTAGTTCATAATAATGCTCCAAATGTACTCTTTATAAAATGGGGGGAGGGGAATATGTTTTTGCTTTTAAATTTCTTACCTTGACCACGCCATCAAAACCAGGTATTGTGTTGACCTTTGCATTCTTAGCTAAGAGTTTGCTTTCTATCTTGTCCCCCATTGCCTGAATAGCATGCATGTCTGGTCCAACGAAAGCAACACCTTCAGATTCCTAAAGGGACAAAGAGGGTAAAGGGGTTTACTCACATTAACAATGAAATTCTATAATGACATTTCACTCAGGAAATACCCCAAATTTATGTAAGCAACATAACTTGAACCACTATATTAAAGATGTATATGAGCTTGTTAAGCCTGTATCGAACACAAGCTCAAAGCTCCTATAATTACTGTTTGTATAAATTAAAGCCAGACCAAGGCAAAATAGCCAACAGTCATAAAGTATTTCAGCTAGAACATTTGCAGGATCCCTTGAGTGAGAGAACACCAGTTAACTCATGTCTCAAAGAGCCACAAGTGGCTTACAAAGGTATGTTCACTAATGTATAACGCAGTTCAGGATTTCATTTTCCATTCTTTAAAACATAAGCCTCACACAAAACGGAAATGAAATTCTTCTTGAAGGAGTTCAAGACTTACAAGACGGACTTTTAAAATATTCCGGTACCATATATGTAATAAGATGTATATCTGGAGTCCATCTTTCAGACTAGAGACACTCAGTAATGGAATCTTACACATTTCACCTCAAGACAGCACAATATCCTAAAGAAAGGATATTTATAAGAAAGAAAAAACCATTTCCTTGCAACACTTGACTCAGTATTATACTATAGCTTATAAGCTATTATCATCATTCTCATTAAATCTGTTCAATATATGTTTTTTTTTTAAAAAAGACTTCACTTCCCGCCCCACAGTTAAATTCCTCCCGTTAAAAATTTTATGTGGTAGGTAAGGAGTGGTAAGAGCAGTCATGCTTGATTACGTGTTTTCTTTTTTATTTATTTATTTCCTCCCTCAATGAGACCTGGGGCAGATTACAAAGTATGAAAACCAATTTAATCAGACAGCATAGAACAGCAATTACAGAATGAGGAAAAACAATGCAAACAGAAAACCTGACTAAGGCATGACATACCACAAAAAATGCAGAGAGGGGGTTACAAAGGTAGAAGACAGGGCTGTCCAACACTGCAGGACTTTTTAGCTAATGAAACAATAAAACCATTTGCCCTACCTTGGCATCATCCTGCATTATCAACTAAACATCTACCAAAACCATACTTAGAGATCAACCTATAAAATGAAGTGCCACCTATAATATTCATAATTTCACCAAGGTGTGTCTCCCATATCATCACTTTATTACTCACTGTTGAATGCCCCAATGAATCCTGGAATGCCTTGTGTTTGAGGTAATGAAGTCCTGTCTGTACTTTGATCAGTGAGTCACACATTTTATTTTATTTTACAAAATGTATATTCCACCTTTCTGCCCTCACAATAGCCACCAGGCTGGCTAACAACTTAAAACACACACAATAAAATCACAATTAAAAAAACTTAAACCAACCAAAATCATTAAAACAATTAAAAACAGAGCTAAAATACCTAAAAAGTCATAATCACAATAATTAAAACATTGAGCAAGAAGGAAGGATCACTGAGGGAAACCCAAACAAAACACAAGCCTTCATCTACTGGGGGAAGACGGCAACAGAAGCAGACAGAACATGCAAAAAAACCACTTAATACTGGAGCCATTTATCGATGAACTTGATAAATGTACAGATTAAGGTACTGTTATAAATTGTCCGCTTTGAGTGAGACAGGTAGACTATAAATTACGTAAATAAATATGTAAATAAGGAACTGGAAATAGTGGAATCTTTTCCAACAGCAAAAAATAGTTTAATGCAACCCTATAAAAAGGATATCCGACAGAGTCATAGGTTTTACTTGAAACTAACTTCTTATTAAAGTGGAGGAGAGAACTGACATAAGCAACAAGGATATACTAGTAATCAGAATCCACCAAACCGAACATCCAGCTAAGTGATCTTCAGAACTTTTAGCTTGTAGAACTTTATTATGTCAGCGTGCCTGAAAAATAACACTTCCACATCTACCTAAGACTCTGGGAGGTGCCTTAAAACACATACACAAGTGTTTTAGGGTACATACTCACTTCACACAACATGGTAAACAGGCTGTTGTTCCTCACCATGGCTCCACAAGAACTCTGAGTGCACCCATGAGTAGTCCCAGCATACCCTACAGCTATTTGGTACAAAGGAATGGTTGAAAGGATCAGAGAGCTCTCCTTCAGAGAAAGGTGCCTGCCACATCTTAATCTAACAACGTTTGAGTCCAGTGACACTTTTAAGACAACAAAATTTAATTCTGGGTACAAGCTTTCATGTGCATGCACACTTCTTCAGGTACATTACTTCTTATTCTAATTAGGAAAACTCTGACTTCCCTGGAACACAGTTTACAGAACCACAGCATTAACAGATTATCACGAACACATTATTTAAAATAATCAAATACTGATTTTGCAACAATTTAGTTGCATTTTTAAAGAAGTCTGCTATTTTGTTCTTATGGGGAAATATACACACACAGGTAACACATTGCCCTTTTGAATCTGCAGTAAACAGCATTTTACTATAGTTTTTGACAAATTCTGACATTTATGTATGCAATGAAGGAATTTAAATTCAATGCTATCTAGCACTTGTAAAAAACAGTGCTGAAATACCAATGGGAAACCTCACCTTTGAATACTATAAAGAAGGAACAAAACTACGAATGGGAAAGTCTGTACTTTTTTTTTGGGGGGGGGGATTTCAATTACACATAGTTTCAGACTGAAGAACATACAAATAGCCACAAAGTACATTAAAGTATACAAAACAAAAAGGAGCCTACCTCCATTAGACAAAATATACCATAAACTGTATGCGGCATTATGGGCACTGTTCCTTCCCAGGACATCTTGAAAAGTGCTTCTAAATTAGTATGAAAGACTACATACTGAAAATGTCCTCGTTAAGTAATAAGTTTCTTAGTGATTTTACGTAGAAACAAAGTGAAACATGTAAAGAATTTTCTATAGATGTTTTTTTCCATATAGCATTTCTTCAGTTAGTGGCATTGAAATCAGTCATAGGTTTTACATGATAAAAGAAATCTGTGGAACTAATCCTAGAAACCTCTTTCTGTTTTTCTGCATAACACCTCCAGGCGACAGAGGAGACAAAATGCTTCATTTGCATCCTTAAACATTAGAAACTGAGAATGAACCTTTTCATCTGCAAATGTTATTGCATCTACATTTCCAGAAGAGAGTGAGAGAGGGGGAAAAGGTTAAACAGTCTACTCAGGTTTATGTTAACTCATCTCTTGTTAGCACTACTGATCAATAGAAAGAGAAGAGAATACAGAAGCTTGAGAGCCTCAGCTCTTTTCTTCTCAACAGCTCAACTAATGTTTGGAAGAGGATATAGCTGTTGATTGCATGAAGACAGAGAGAGGAAGTCAGGTTCACACTACAGGAAATAGCAAATATTAACTAGTATAATTCCCAGTTTTTCTAGTCTTATGGTTTAGAGTACCCATTCTTCATTTTTGCAGTTGCAGTTAAAAGATAGTTAAAGCTCAACTTCCTTTCCTTTGTAAAGCACACCAATGGCTTTAATACATTCAAGATTCACTATAGCAAAACATGTCCATGCTCTGGTCGCATCCAAGTTAGACGAATGTAATGTGCTCTATGTAGGACTGCCTTTGAAAACTGTACAGGAAACGTCAGCTGATCCTGGCTACTGTCAGGGCTGAATACAAGAATCGTATCACAAGATCTGCTTTGCTTAAGAACATAAGAGAAGCTAATGTTGGATCAGGCCAATGGCCCATCCAGTCCAACTCTCGGTCACACAGTGGCCAAAAATACCAGGTGCCATCAGGAGGTCCAGCAGTGGGGCCAGGACACTAGAAGCCCTCCCACTGTTAACCCCCCCCCAAGGACCAAGAATACAGAGCATCACTTGCCCCAGACCGAGAGTTCTGATCTATACCTTCTGGCTAATAGCCGCTTATGGACCTCTGCTCCATATGTTTATCCAATTCCCTCTTGAAGCCGTCCATGCTTGTAACTGCCACCGCCTGCAGCAGTGAATTCCACGTGTTAATCACTCTTTGGGTGAAGAAATACTTCCTTTTATCCGTTCTAACCCACAGCAATTTCATTGCGTACCCACGACTTCTTGTATTGTGAGAAAGGGAGAAAAGTACATCTTTCTCTACCTGTTCTATCCCATGCATAATCTTGTAAACCTCTATCATGTCACCCCTCAGTTGTCATTTCTTCTCCAAGCTAAAGCGCCCCAAGCGCTTTAACTTTTCTTTCTAGGGAAAGCTTTCCAACCTTTGCCTGTCTGCTTCCATGTATGATTTAAAGTGCTCATTCTTACCCTGAAGGCCTTAAAAGGGTTTGGGCCCATGAGACCTGAACAACTGCCTCCTCCCATATTATCGAGCACCAGCCCACCAGTTAAGATCTTCCACACGAGGCCTGCTCTTTGTGCCCCTGCCTGCATAGTTGCATAGTGCAGGACCTCACCTATGGAATGCACTTCCTCTTGAGGCCTGACTGATGTCTACCTACTCTCCTTAACATGCCAGACCAAAATATTTCTTTTTTAAAGGTAAAGGTAAAGGTTCCCTTGCTCGAAAGCCAATCGAATCCGACTCTAGGGTGGCGGTGCTCATCTCCGTTTCAAAGCCGAAGAGCCAGCGCTGTCCGAAGACATTTCCGTGGTCATGTGGCTGGCATGACTAGACGCCGAGGCACACAGAACGCTGTTACCTTAACATGCCAGACCAAAATATTTCTTTTTTAAAGGTAAAGGTAAAGGTTCCCTTGCTCGAAAGCCAATTGAATCCGACTCTAGGGTTGCGGTGCTCATCTCCGTTTCAAAGCCGAAGAGCCAGCGCTGTCCGAAGACATTTCCGTGGTCATGTGGCTGGCATGACTAGACGCCGAGGCACACA